GTTGTCTACCTGAAACTCGTATAATATCGTATGTTAACTGTACCTCAGTTTAAAAAGAAACCCAATGGACTGGAGCAAGGGCTGCCCAAGGCTCTTACCATGCAGATGGAAATATATTTATCTGGTGACTCAGTGCCTACCCATATACAGTTTTACTAAAGAATGCTTCTCATGACAGGAGATGCATTTTGTTTTCTAGTCTGCTTTCTTCTATTTCACTTTTTAAAAGCCAGTGGAAAACTACTCAACTGATTTTAAAACCCACGAAGTTGCTGCCCACAGTCTGTAGGCATTGGCCTAAGGGACCCTCCGAGATCACTTCTAGCACGGACAATTTATATGGCATTAAAGAAGCTGTGATCTTAGAGTCTGAGAGGTGACACCAGGTGACCCTGTCCCAAAGGTGAAGTTACCAACCTGGATCACCTGAGTAAGCAACAAATTCTGGCTTGCCATTGACACAGCCACCTTGCTGTCCAAGAGACAGGGCTCAGAGACAAGCAAGCCGAATACAGTCCTGATTTTCCTAGGGACCCACACTTGCCACCCCAGTGCCTAATCCCGGGGAGATTCAGGGCAAAGGGTGGTAACATGGGGGTGGGGGCACTTGGCTGGGTTAAAAGCCAACACAGAAAAAAAAAAAAATCAGAGGAAACGAAGACTTCTCTTTCCCTCCTATAATCTTTGGATCACACCCATCCCACCGAGATGGCTAACCTCCTCCATTTCTAAGAGGCTCACTGAGAATCGGATCTTTGCCTCAGATTTTTGTAAACATAGCCCTTTCCCAAACACCATGGCGGTGCAGAGACATGGCCCCCTGAAGTCCCACACAGTGAATAATTTGCATGGCGTGCTAGGATTTTTGGTGGCTGGAGTATTCTGACATAGCCCCAAAAAGCTGGCTTCCTGAGAACCTTCCAGCCATCAGAGGGTAGAAGTGCGTGAGATTGACGGGTTAGAACCGGTGTGTTGTCACATGGGGAAAATACATGTTATGACAATGAACCAGGATATTAAATAGCAGAGCAAGCAAGCAAACAAGATATCTGCGTAAACACTGAACTATGTTTTCCCGTCCAGGTTTTCTACAGTGAGCATGTACTTCCTTGGTGATCTGGGGGAGAAAACAACTTTAAATGCCGATCCATTCAGAGGTACATTATAAAGAGCAGCGAATAAGGTCCGTTAAACACTAGCTTACTCCCTGGCGTTAATACCAGTTTGAACAGACAGGACCTGAAAATGTCAAGATATATACTCCTTGATGTGCACCCCTCATCTTCCGGGTCCCTCAGCATGTACTCCTCCTGGATAGGTCACTGTGGACGTCTCCAAAGCACCTGCCTGTGCGGAGCGTAGAGGGAAAGAGGCTTCTGAGGCAGGGCTCCTCTGGTTTTATTGTTTTGGTTCATTTTCAAGAACCATCCTTGAAATCAGGAAATGGGGTCTAGTCCTAGCTCTGAACTCAGGCGAGCGCCTTCCCTTCCCTGGGCCTCAGTTTCCCCATTTGTAAACTAAGCAGATTAGATGTTCTGACGGCTAAGGTCCCCTCTGGCTCCAAAATTCTAAGAGCTAAAAGGACCAGCATTCAGGTTTAAGGGCTGCTAGGTCTGATAAATCTAGGGCAAGAGAGAATAAGAGACTGTTGGCAGCTTAGCCCAAGTAAACAACGCTGGATAGAAGGCAGGGCCAACCAGCCTCAGGAGATAAGGGTTGGGGCCAAGGCGAGGGAGAAGTCAAGAGTCCCAGGCCACAGCTAGTCAGGGAGAGCTCAGCAGAGTCTCACAGGGCTGCCTCTGGCCAGTGTGTTGGGGCAGTCTGCTCTAAAGCAGGGAAAACCTGTTTCTTTGGGGGGCCAGAACTCCCAGGAGGGGCCGCCGGTGCACCAAGGGCTCAATCCAAGGGGAGGAGAACAAAAATGTTGCCAGGCCAAGCCGGGCCACCTATCCAGGCTGGGGAGGGGCAAGACTCTATGAAGCGGCCAGCAAGACAGAGATCCTGAGAAACCACCAGACCTGTACTAAACTGGGGTCTAAAACAAGTCTCTGACCTGAATGTGGCCAGTCTCCTGGGAGAATGAAGAGTGGTCAGCGGGTGGGCGGCAGTCCCAGTTCTGCTGCTGACTTGCTATGTGCACTTCTACTCTCTGAGTTTTGTCAAATGAGAGTGGTCCCCTCCACCCAAGACATTCTGGGGTCCTCCTGGTGAAAGACAGAGTATGGTCCCCTTCCAAGCAGAGGGAGACTTCCATCACGGAGGACACCCTTAGAGCTCTCAGTTGCAAGAATGACCCGTCCAAGCTTCAGAACAAAGTGAAAGCAAAAGCCAAGAGCCAGAGGCAGACCCCTCACCACATCCCCGACAGAAGACATCTGAGCTTCTGGAACTTTCTCAGCACTTAGGGAGAAAACTCTGCTCAGTCCCTTGAATTCCACCTTAGTTTGGAACGGGGAGAAGAGAAGCCCAGAGCCAAAGCCCCTCTTCTAGCCCGAGGGTCCTGAGGGGTTTACTGCCAGCCGCATGGAGGGAGAGAACATTTACCAGAACCGTGACCCAGGAAAACAGGAGCCCTAAAAGAGGCAGGTTGCCCAGGAGACGGGCTGCTGGCTCTGCCTGCAGCTTTGCCATTCCTCACACAGAAACTCCTAGGTTTTGTGCCTTTTGGAGTCTGGAAGCAGGAAGGCCACAGCTGGAGAGGCTTGGGCCCTGCCAAGGCCCCAGGCACTTGCCGGTACCCTCTGGTGGAAGACAGGCTGGCAGTTTGGGCATCACACCAAGTCCACAAACCTCACCCTTGAGCAGTGGTCACGTGTGAAGACCACATGTTAATCTCTGCCTCCTGTGCGGGGCTCCCCTCCAGCCCCCCCCGTTTCATCCCCACTGCCCCCGGCCCGCAGACCAGCCTCCTCTCTCCCAGCAGTCCCCCCCAAACTCTCCTCCGACTTCCACACAGAACTGTCTTCCTCACATAGACCAAACAAGATCAAATGACTGCCCTGCTTAAAGAACTTGAATGCAACTTGCGTCTGTCTTTGTCTTTCTTGTTCAGTGATCCATCCTGAGCACCTAGAACAGTGCCTGGCCAGCGGAAGGCACTCAGTCAACATCTGTTGAATGGTTCCCAGACGTCCACATGATAAAGTCCCACGTGCAACGATCGGCCGCCATTCCAGTCCCTCCAATTCCCTTTACTTTCCCCACCTTCCACAAACCCATCTGCCACTGCCTGAGCACACCCCCCAGGCCCACCACACCCCGTGTACTTTTGTACCTCGGTGCCTTTGCTTGTGCTGTTCCACCTGCCCGGACACCCTTCCTCCCCCTCCGCGAGGGACTCCAATACACTGCTGCATAGTCCAACATTCTTGTCTTTTTTTCTTTTTCTTTTTTCCCCCAACATCCTTTTCTTAGCAGGGCCTCCCGGAACACCTCAGCCTGAGTTATTTTCTCTCTCCTGTTCTCCCTTAAGCCCTGTAATGGAACTTCCTGCTAGGCATGAAGGTCCCACCTGGGAGGTTATCCCTCCCATCGAACAGATGAAGAAACCCGAGGCTCAGGGAGGCGGGTCACAAAGCCAGCCAGGGCTGGGGCCTGACTGTAATATCACCTCTGAACGACACTTGTCATTTACTACTCACTAGGCTGGGAGCTCTTGAGGTCCCTAGGCTCTGCATCTCTGGGGCAGGCCTGGCCCTGCTTGATGCCCAGGAAGCCCTAATCATCCAACCACTGGACAGAACCCTGTGAGGAACAGAGGCGCCACCAGCCTCCTCCCCTTCCTCCGTTCTGCCTTTTGTCCCAGTCTGGGCAGTACCTCTGGCAAGCTGCGGAGGGAAGCATTTGGAGGGAAAGGGGCTCCTTCCCAATTCCGTTCGTTCCTATCAACTTCGGTCAAGATCCTTGTGTGACGAGTCTCCAAAGTGTGAAAGCCGCTCACAGGTCCCAGAGCCGACCCTCCACTAGAGAAGCCATACTCCAAGAGCACCACGTCGAAGGAAAACCAAAAGCCAGCTCTAGAGGGTAACCCCTCTCCGGCAGCTCGCCTGGGCTGGCTCCGACTCCGCCCCCGCCGCTCCGGCCCCGCCCACCCAGGCCCCGCCCGCGCCGCTCCAGCGGCGCCTGGGTTCCCGGCGCCTGGACCACCCGCACAGCTAGGAGGGATCTGGCCCGGGCCACACAAGCTCATCCGAGAGTGCACAGGTGCCCCATGGCTGCTACCGGCCAGGGAGGGCCCAGGCAGGGCTGGGGAACCGTAAGGACATCCAGGTTTCCTGTTTCCCACACCCCTTGGTTAGGAAAGCTTACTTCCTATAAGTGACCATCCCTTTCAATTAGACTTGGCAGTCCCAGGCCACACGCCTCCCGTTGGGAAGCAGACAAGAGATCTGATTTGGATTTTAAGTACTTGCTATGTGCCAGGCACGAGTGACCCCACCTCATCCCAGGAGGTTATCATACCCATTTCACAGTGAAGAAACTGAGTTTCACCCTACTTCGCTCACGCCCGATTTCTCACCGTTTTTTGCCTCTGGTACGTAAAGCACACATACGAATCTAAATTCCCCCAAAGCCTCGGTTTCCAGAAAAGACTTAGGGATGGGGGAAGGGGGAATCAATTGGGCAGCGCCAGGATGGTTTCCGGGGACTTCCTGGGAAGTTCTGCTCTAAGCATGGGTGGAGGTGCCTCTTGGTCGAGGCCGAGAGTTCGAAACCCGCCTGGCGGATGGCACCTGTCCTCGCCAACAGGGGGCCCCGGAGGCTGGTTGCCTTCTCTGGGCCGAGGTCAGCGCGATGCCGTGGAGGCGGGGTGTCCCGCACTGGGGGGGGCGCGGCTCCAGTGAGCGCGGGTTCGGAGTCCTCCAGGCTGCAGACCCGGGACAGGAAACTCCCGGACAGACGGACAAACAGACCCCGCCAGCCCTGACTCCCTCCCCGGCCCTGCCAAGAGTCACTCCGCGGGGCGCCGCGGGGCGGAAGGCGCGGCGGCGCAGACTCACCCGGGCGGCTGCGGGTCCAGCACGGTCACGGTCGGGCGGCCGGGGACCGGGGGCTCCACGACCCGGTCCCCCCCGGGCTGCCTCCTTCGGGGCGATATGATCCCGGGGCCGGAGGTTCGGGGCGGGGGGTTTAAGATCGAGGGAGGCGGTGGCGGAGAGGGCGCAGAGCCCGCTCCGGGACCGGGATGGGGACGCAGGAAGCTCTGCCTCGGAGCGCCGTTGTGCAGGAGGGAGGGACGGCGAGACACAGAGGGCGGCGCCGGCCCGGAGCGGCCTCCAGCCCCGAGAGGCGCCGCCCACCAGCCGACCCTCCCTCCCGGCCCTCCGCGCCACCCCCAGGACTGGGGCGCGGGCCCGAGCCGCGGAGGGAAAGCACCCACTCTCTCGCGTCGGATTGCGGGGGGGGGGGGTGCCAGCGGGTGGGGGGACGCTGGGCCAAATCCTCCCCCGACCCCGCCCCTCCGAGTTGGCTAAACAGGGGTGGGGGAAGGGAACAGAGCCCAGACATCCCTACCCCCGGGCCGCGGAGGTGGATGTGGGGGTGGAATGGGGGACGGTGACTCGGGACCGGAGTCCAGGTTATTTAAATGTTAAGTAGAGCTGGGAGACCCCCCCCACCCCACCCCACCCCATACCCCACTCCCAACTCAGGCGCGAGTAGGCAGGTACAGCACTGCGGACCCACCTGCCGCGCCTTTACCTGGCCCGGCGCTCACCTGGTCGCCCGGTGCGCCGGCCTCTCCCCCCCACTTCCTGGGGAGGCCACCGCCTCCCTCTTCACCCTTGGGCGTGTTCGGGGCGCTGGGACCCGTCTGCACCGCCCAGGGTTGGTGGTTTGCGAGGTGACTGATGGGTGGAGGTAGGAAAGGAGGAAGCAGGTTTTTAAAAAAAAGCGAGTCTGTTCCTGCCCTCGGCCCGACCCCCCACCCTCTCTCCGGTCCCCTGCGCGCCCCCTGCGGGTTCCCGGTCGCACGGTCCGGGTGGAGCCCATTTCTGGGGGCCCGCGCCTGCATGCATACGGGATGCGGGCGCCCCCTCCAGAGAATCTCGCCTACTGGGGGCTTTCATTCCCAGCTTTCCGGAGAACTTTCCCAATGAAACACCGGCTGTCGTCGTCCTGACCACCAGGTTGCAGGCGATGGCCCACAACTGCTTAGAGCCCCAGAACTGCTGCCTGAGGCCGGGCTCTGGGGAGGGTAAACCGGAACTGGTGAGGGTGCCTCTCATCCGCGGCGGCTCTGCCTCTGCCCACCCCCTCCCCCCCACACCTGGAGGTTTGCCCTGGAACCGTGCCTCTCCGGCGCCCAAACTGATCTCAGCCAGACCACACAAAAAAAAAAAAAAAAAAAAAAAAAAAAAGGATTCTAAACCTAGGGGGAGAAGATAGCCCGCCGCCTCTCCCAATCTTAGATTGTTTTGAATTCCAAGAGAGGCCAGTTCGGGGGTCCCCTTCTCCTGCAACTGTCCAGTTCTTTGAACCCTGAGAAAGGCCAATAGGCAGCTGGCTGGGTGTCAGAGGATCCAGCTGAGGACAGAAGGCGCCTCCTAGGGACAGAAATTAGACACCCTGGTGGAATTGTAATCAAGTCCACCTTGGTGGAATTGTAATCAAACTCCCAAGTTCATGGGTATACATCATCCAAAGGTATGTATACCTATGTTGTCCCACGTGGGTATTTTCTCCCATTGTTGCTTTTCAACTTGAACAGTAACAGTTCAACAGGTCCCTGGTGTCCCCAAATAGGCAAATTTGGGGCTGACTTGTGATTTGGGGATGAGGAAACATTTAGGGAAACAGTGATGAGTCTCCGCAAATATAACAATAACAGCTTATTCCTCACATCCTTACTGTGGACCCATCACCAGGTTGCTACTCACTTCCTAGCCCATTTAATCCTTGTAACAACCCCAGGGATGCTTTTTGGTTACACCCACTTTATAGAAGAGAAAGCTGAGGCTTCAGAAGATGAGGTCATCATTGCCCAAGGTCACACAGCTGGGAAGTATCAGCAATTAGACCCCAGTTGTTTGGCTCCAGAGCCTGTGTTCTCCCATCTTTGGAAGAATTCCTTGTCACTCTGCGTATACTCTCTCCCCTGAGGCAAGTTTCCCTGCTTCTCCTGTCTTTCAGGAAGAGAAGTTACTTTTGTCTCATTCTGCACAATGACATAATTCTTTACAAGTCTGCCTCCTGCTCTCCTTGAGGATAGGGACCTCTGTGTCCTGCCCACTTCTCCTGGCCCCCTGCAGGTGCTTAATAAATATCTGTTGGCTAAATGAAAGCCCCAAATAGTAACATTATTTTATTGAATGGGGTGAACTGTTTGTGTAGACGGGTACCTGTGATCACAAGCTCACATTGGAGAGCGGTGTGTATTCCATCACAAAGTTTAGACAATGAATTTGGGAACCTTCCAGTCTCCAAATGGTTGATGAGAAACAGTGACGTAGCTCTCAGATAAGACCCAGAGTCTGGCTTTCATTTCACTCTGCAAGACCAACTTTGGAGAGGCCCAGACTGGGGATAATCATTTCAGACAGCGGCTCTAGCTCCCATCTGGAGGCAAAGAACCTCAGTACTTTTCCATGCCAGGATCCAACTCCAGATCCACCCTGCTCTGCCACAAACCTAACTGGGCAGGTCTCGTCTATCTCAGCAAATCATCTTCAGAGCGTTCCTTTTAGGCTGGCTCACCCTGGCTAATCCGGGAAGAGGCTGGAGAAACTCCCATCCAAAGTGGAGCCACAGGCAAAACTAGAAAGTGGCAGAGGAAGCGTGTTTCTCCTTGTCATACTACTCTTCACGGCCCTCTCCCTCTACATGGTAAATTTCTTTGATTCTTCCCTGGTTCTCTAGGTCCCATCGAGGAGCCTGACTTCATTTAACTGCCAACTTCTCTGTCAGCTCACAAGGGCCTGAGATGTGACTGTGTCCTTGGGGAAAGAGCCAAAGAAGTAAATCTCGAATGGTGGAATTTCTGTTACCCATTACCATAACAGGCGGTGGGGAGGATGAGGGTTCCCATTTACTGAGCCCTGTATTTCAAGAGCTCGGCAACCGTCGTATTGTTTAATCTTCTCAACGGCCTTGGAAGGAAAATTCTATTATTTCAGTGTTTCAGGTCAGGCTAACTGAGACTCAGAGAAATTACACACCTCCGTCTTTTAACAAGGGGTAGAGCCAGGAATTTGAACTGACGTATATGCTTGCTCGTAACCACTATGCTAAGAACCCCACGGGATAGGCAAAATAATGGCTGCCAAAAGATGTTCATATTCTAATCCTCAGAATCCATGAAGGTGTTACCTGGCACGGTAAAAGGGACTTGGCAGATGCGATTCAGTGAAGGCCCTTGAGATGGGGCAATTATCCTGAATCATAGTCACAGGGGTTCTTCTAAGAGGGAGGCAGGAGGGTCAGACAGAGTTGTAGTGGTGGAAGCAGAGGGCAGGGTGATGTGATTCCTGGAAGGGGCCACAGGGCGAGCAGCGGGGGCAGCCCCTAGAAGCTGGAACAGGTCAGTGGCGAATTCTCCCCTAGGCCCTCCAGAGGGAGCACAGCTTTGCTGACACCTTAATCTTAGCCCCCTGAGACCGTTTGGTTGGACTTCTGACGTCTAGAACTGTAAGCTAAGGAATCTGTGTTGTTCTAAGCCCTGAAGTTTATGGTAGTTTGTCACAGGAGCCCTAGGAAACCCACGGGGCTGGCCAACTCAGCCATGTAGGCAGATGTTTACGTCACCTACCTTTTCAGCTAAGCGTCCACCATATGTCTCTTCTCTAAGAGGCTCCGTGATACAGCCTGCGCCATGGATTTAGAAAGAAGGCAGGATTTCATCAGATCTGTCTCTCGTTTCTGAGTCCTCTGCCGCTTACGAGCTGTGTGACCCTGGGTGGATGTCTCGTCCTGTCTGATCCTCAGTTTCCAAATCCTCTGTAAAAACTCCTACTCTGCGGACTGACATGAGAGTCAGGTGAGACAGGATGTGGCCGAGTGCCTTGTCAATGGCCCAGGGGCATCTGAACACAAGTCGCTTGGCACATTAGCTTGACCGTTTCTGGAAGTCTGGATTCTAAGAGGAGAGAATGCTGCTCTGAGCCTTCTCCTAGCAAACGTTTGTATCTGTTCCAGCTGAGTGGGCAAGTAACAGTTTAAAGTATCAGACTGTCTCTGCTTGGTGACTAGACCTCAATCTGTAAGGAAGTGAAGCTGAAAACCTACTTAGAGGAACAGATCATCATGTGGAACTCACATAGGTGCTCAAGACCGTGTGTTCAAGGATTTTCACTGCTGATTATTTAGAATGGGGAAAATGGTTACCAACCTGAATATGTCCCTGGTAGAAGATAGTTAAGTCATGGTGTAGGCTTGTGCCGGGATGCTACGTGGTCACGGAAAAGGAGATAGAGCTGACACAGGGAAGACTAGCCAAGATGTATCATGAATTAAGAGAGGCAAAAGACTGGGCATTATGATGCCACACAATTTTTTTTTAAAGCTATAGACACACATATATTTGCTTATGCATAGAAAGTGTATGTGAGGGGGCACTGGGTGGCTCAGTCACTTGAAAGTCCGACTCTTGATTTCAGCTCAGGTCGTGATCTTGGAGTTGTAGGATTGAGTCCCATGTTCATCTCCGCTCTCAGCAGGGAGTCTGCTTGGAGTTCTCTCTCTCTCCCTATCCCCGGCCCCTCCCCTGTTCGTGGTCACTCACTTTCTCTCTCTCTCTCTCTCTCTCTCTCTCTAAAAAAAGAACATGTTATGAGAGGAATGAAACCAAACTGTGGTTGCCCTTAGAAATCGAAAAGCAGTGTGTGTATGTGCTAAGAAAAAAAAAAAAAAAGGAGTCCAGGAGCCTTGTGTATTGTCCCCCAGGAGCACACGCTCCCTTGCCCCTGTGTCTTCTCCCATCAGCCACTCTTTTGCTCCATTCTGAGCCAGTGACCCCTTGCTCCCATTCACTCCGGAGGAGGGCTCATTTCTAAACCCTTGAGAAGCTGAGCAATGTCTCCACTGTGTGACTCTTGCCAAAGTCAGCAGTAATTACATACGTACGTGTACTTGTAACATGTGCCTCATCTGGAGCGGATCCCATTAGTCACTGGGAAGGGATGTGCTCACAGGCAGGTTTCACCCGTGACATACTGGCCCAGCTTTTCGGAAGGTTGCATCAGGTCTGGGTGGCAGAGATATTGCGCTCATATAGTGCAAAGTGAAATTGGGTAGGTGGACTATTGGTTTAAATGAAACCATTTGGATTCAATTTCCAAAAAAATGCTTCAGAAATGATGTCTCTACCTCAGTTACCACTGTAAGTGGGCCTGTGTAGACGAGTCAGACAGTCCAGAACGGAGCTCGTGAGGACCTCCTGACTTTAGGGTGCCTGATCTTGAGGCCCCTGAGCACAGAGAGCCAGCAAGTCTCGCTCCTTATCACCCTGATTCTTTGGTGCCCCATCCTCTAGAACCTTCCTCTATGTCCCATCTGCAGGTCATCCAGCTGCTTCCTAACTGGTGTCCTGCTTCCAGGCTGTCCCCCTTGAATGCGTTCTCCATGTCGCACGGTCAGCGGTGTGACACACAGACCTGAGCCGTGGTTCCCCAGGGCCCTCAGCATCGAGTCTGGACTTCTTGCCCAGGAAACAGGACTTCATGAGCGGGTGGGGGGGGGTCCCTCTGATGTGCTCAGCCTTGTTACTCATGGCTCTCTCAGGCTCCAGGCCCTGTCATGCTTCCGTGGTCTCTTTTCCATCAAGGATGAGACCTTTCCCAGAAGCTCCCCGTAAACTTCCTTGATAGCTCCCTTGCCAGAACTGGGTCACATGCTCATTCCGAAACCCATGACTGGCAAGGGCCCTCGAGACTGGTGCAGACTTTCAGGAGTCACTGGGGTTGGCACAGACCCCTGAATCAGACGGAGCCTCTGCCAATAGGAAGAAGAGGCCGGTGCACCCAGTAGGCACCTGCAGCAGCCCCCCCCACCACCCCAGGTACAGGGAGGCTGCCAGTTTGCTGTCCACCTTCCTTCCTTTTTAGTGCTGAGCAGCATTCCTGTTTTTCCAGTGAGTTTCCTTTTTTACTTAAACTAGTCTAATGAGTTTATGTTTCTGGCAACGCAAGGATCCAAAGAGAATCCCTCTGATGCTCTTGAGCGGACAGCAGTGCCGGAGGCCAGGCACAGATGCCCTGACCCTCTCTCGGTGAAGCGATTGCATTGAAACCCCCAGCAGCAAGCACTGGGGCCCTGTGTGACCCGGATTCCAGGAAACCCATTCACTTCTAGGGTAAGTGAGTGACAGCCATAGCAAGCCAGCCCCCGTACAGTGCTGACTCAGTGCTGGGCACTGTTCTACATAGTTTACAATTTCTGTCTCAGTAATCACCCTCATAACCACAGGAAGGAGGTATTATATTCCCCCCTTTTACAGCCTAGGAAACTGAGACCCAGAGACGTTAAGTGACTTGATCAAGCTCACTCAGCTGGTAGGTGGTGGCGTGTGGCTGGGAACCCAGGCTGCCTGTAGTCCGGGCACCCATACCCTTCTCTACCCTGGCTCTCCTGCTAGTGTGGCTTGCGATGCTCTTAGGGACTTCCGATCCAGGTTTGGAGGATGGGAGATGAGCCTGGGGACCGAGATTCAGCTGTCCCTGGCTGGGAAGGGCCCACAGAAGAACACGACAGTGTCTTCCATTCATTCCTCACACACTGCTGGAGTGAGCTAATACTTCGTGATAGTGATGAAAGGGGTTTCTTCCCCTTTCCTTTTTGCTCTTTCAGCCAGTGGCTCTTCTTATTTCGGGGTGAACCAGATTCACCAGAAAAGCAGAGATAATGTTTTGAGTTTTAAGAATCAGGTCTTTGGGGTTGTAAGAACCTGAGCTCTGAGTTTCAAAAGTGGGAGCCCTGGGCGTAATGTTTATGTCATTAACAAAAGGTTTTGGGACTAAGCAAGATCCAACAACCACTTGCCCAGGCCCAGATAGGATCAGGTGTCTCTGGGCTGTGGGTCCACGTAGAGGGGCAGATGAGAGGGAAACAGCTATGATGATGTGGGCTCCGGAGAGGTGAGTCGTGGCCAAGGCAATGGTCCTGTGGCAGCTCTGAGAGTGGGTGTGGGCTGGGGGGAGCCTCAGAGGATGTTTGTCCTTCACCCAGGGTGGTACCAGAGGGGATGGTCACATGGAGTGGCGACAGCCCTGCAGCAATTTCCCTGGCCCTGCCAATGTACCCCATGTGCCTAAGAGGAGGGCAGAAGAAGCTGAGAGAAGAAAGAGGGAGAAGCTGGGTGAAGAGAGGGCGTCCAGGAGGCGAGGAAGGCATGTCTGCCATCCGGAAGACAGAAATGAGGCCATGTCAGCAGGTGCCAGAGAAGAGCAGATTGCCGCTGGCCCCTGCCCAGGTCTTGGCACATTGTGAGCTCCCTTCACCAAAAAAAGAAATATAGATACAACTTAGAACAAGCAGTAGGGAGACTCTGATTAATTGTGATCTTCTCCTACCCAGCAAAGTGGGGACTTGAAATTGAAATTAAGCCTAGTTCTGAAAACTGAGGTTATGTCTCTTGTACACTCCACAATGCAGACTGAGCATCCTGCCTGCTTCCCGGCTGTTCCTAAAAAGGCTTTGCATGTTCAGCTCGGCTCTCTGGTACATTTCGGCACGAAGGAGGTTAATAAGGTTCTTCAAGAGAAACGGAAGAAGAGAGCATGGAACAGAGGAACGGTACCCCTGCATGTTCTGCATCCTCTTTCAGGCAGCCCTCCCGGCTTCATAGTGACCCTCTATCAGCCCCCGACCAACAGTGTGCTGCCTTCACCAGACCTGTCATGCAAATAATTGTGTGTTCAATATTACACTGTGCTGTCTAGGTAGTTGCTGTCTTTGTCTGTGACATTTAGGGCGCTTTACACCAGAGTTTTGCAACCTTGCCACTATAGACATCTGGGTGGGATAAGTCTTTGTCGTGGGGGCTGCCCTGAGCACTGTAGGATGGTTAGCAGCTTCCCTGAACCTCTACCTACTAGATGCCAGTAGCAACACCCCTCTCAAATTCTGACAACCAAAAATGACTCCAGACATTGTCAAACGTCTCTGGGGGGAAGGGGGATTCACCACCCACCCCCATTAAGAACCACTGCTTAGAATACTGCATACAGGATCCCCAGCATGTGCTTTTTGCTCTGAAGTTGTTGTCAGTGAAGATAGATGGCAAAATCTAACCAGAGAATTAGTGGCCTGGAAGTCAGAAGTCCCGGGGTCAAGTCTCACTTCCCACCTGTGTGCCCTTAAGCAAATTATATAGCCTCTCTGAGCTTCAGGTTTCCCCGATGAGTATTGGGGATAATCAACAAGGAAAGGGATTTGAGTCTGTTTTGTTCACTCCTGTATCCCCAATTAATCTAGAATAGTACATACTACATAGTAAGTGCTCAATAAAAATGTGTTGACTGACTGAATTTCTGCCCTGCCTCCCTCCCAGGGCTTCTGCAGGGTTCAGATGAAAAAGTCTGTGCAAACTTCCATCATTGAGGGATCATGGAAAATATTGCACCCTGTCCAAACTCAGAACACAGATGCCACTGGCTGGCATTTTCTGAACTAATTTTATAAACACATAAGGATTCATAATAGCCAAATACCGGAAACAACCTACATGTCCTTGGATAGATGAGTGGTTAAACTGTGGTAGATCCACACCGTGGTGGAATACTATGTAGCAATAAAAAGGAACAGCTCCTCGAGGCATGCAGCAATCTGGATGGCTCTCAAGGGAAGCATGCTGAGTTAAAAAAGCCAATCTCGAAAGGTCCCATACTGTATGATTCCATTCATAGAATATTCTTGAAATCACCAAATTTTGGAGATGAAGAAACATTGCCAGGGGTTGTGGTTGTGCCAGCATGGGTGCGGCTTCCACTGCGCAGCATGATGGAGCTTGTGGGAACGGGACAGTTCTGGATACTGAGGGGGAGGGGCTGGTTACATGAACCTGTACACATGATAGAACTGCACAGCCCTACACACAGATAGACTCACACACAAATGAATAGAGGTGGACCCGGAAATCCAAATAAATTCTGTGGGTTGTACCAATGTCAATTTCAACGTCAATCTCCTGGCTGCACTACTGCTCCAAGGACTGGGTGAGGGACACACAAGACCTCCCCAGGAATTTTTTTTTTTTTTGCAATTTCCTACGAATCTGTTATTATTTCAAAATAAAGATTTGAATCCGAGGAAAACAAATACCCAGGGACAAAAGGGAAGAAAGAATTCCCTAAAACATGTGCAGCATAAAAATAGTTAAATTCCCCAGATCACTAGAGGAGGTGAGAGACTCAGACCACAAACTCAAGCTGGCAGGAAATGGAACTATTTTTCCATGACTCAGCCAGATTTATCTTAGGAGCCCCTATTCTGCCAGGTGGCAGAAATGCTTTCCTTCTCCCTCCCCTCACCCCCTGCTGGGGTTGCATCTAAATTCTGAAGCCTTGTGTCATGCCAAAGCCTCCTAGGGGCACATCTGGTGTGGATGCCATCCATCCCTGTCCCCACACTGGTTGCTGGGCTGTTGGTCCCGGCAAGTCCATGCTGAGCCTGAGGGAACTCTCACAGGACAAGTCACTACCTGGTATCTTCTGACTCACATATAGTTCCACAGATACATTTCATTTGATCCATAGCGTATTTTAAAAGATCACTTGCCAATATCTGAAATGGGAATTTTCACATAAGCATCTAGATATTTGAAAGAAAAACAAGATATTGGTGTCTTGTAAAAAATATGTTCATGTTTTGTAAAAAATAATATTTTCATGTCTGGTAAAAAATAATATTTTCATGTTTTGTAAAAAATAATAAAGATTTTCATGTTTTGTAAAAAAAATCTAGAAATTGGAGCAGATCATTCTGGGGACACATCCCGATGGGGCAGCAATCCCACTGCCTGGTGGCTGCCCAGTACACCAAGCATGCTCACTGTCAGCTTGCCACAGTCCCCACCATTCCCCATTAGGGGGCCTGGCTCACTCATTTGCAAAATCTGCCTAGCCCACATAGTCGCTTGAGTTGGCAACCTCACTCTTTCCTATTTCGGTGTCACTTTTGGGTCCCTGGGGCCCATTTTTCTCCTGCTCCTTGTTGGGGTGCAGAAAAGTGCTGTGGAGCTGTCTCAGACCCATCTGCCTTGATTTATCAAATGGCCATTCAGTCCGGGGTCTTGCTGCCCTCCCTGGCTCCACACGGGAAAGGAACACAATGGGACACAGCCCAGGGCCCTCATTCTCAGTTTCCCTTCCTTTCAGACACTCCCTCCTCCTGATCTGGGAACCTTTGTCCGCCCTAAGAGGCAGGAAGCCTTGCTAGTCCAGCATCTGTGTCTCCCTCCCCGCCCTGCCCCACTCCCAATTCTATTGTCTAAACACACCAGTCCTTTCTATTTCCCCTGATTTCCTAGGCTTTCAAAATCCAAAGCCAGGACTCTTTGGTTCTCTTTTCTTTTCTTTTTTTTTTTTTTTGCTGTGTCATCCCTTTCTGGAGGCATATGATAACAGCTGCCTGAATTTTGGGGGTGGAGAGGATCTTGAAGCAGTAACAAAAACTGGGAATGAAAAACGCATCAGATAATTTAAGATGTCACCCTTCATCATCTTTCTACACGCCAGGTGCTGTGCTAAGCTCTTTACGTGTGTTATCTCATTTCAACCTAAATTGGAAATGAAGGCCGAGATGAAGTGTTTGTCCAAAGTCAACAGCTAGCGAGGGGCAGACCTGAGACTTGAACCCAGAGTAGATCATCCTAGCCATCTGGTTCCTCCAAAGCTATGGCTTTATTTCACCTACACCCTTTCGGCTTCCTGAGCTCCCCGGTACCTGACCACCGTGGCAGAGGCCAGTCGGAATCCTTACCTGGGTGAAAGTGAAAGGCCACTGGTCGAACTTTTACTAAGCCCCGCCCACCCCCAGTTGATTGGCAGGGTGGCCGTGACTGACAGGTTGGCGATCCTTGGCACAGTGAACTATATTGACCCCCCCCACCGCAAGCCACTCTAACCGCAGCAGGAGAGTCGGGACGGCCAGGACAGATCGACTCCCTGGAGAAGAACAGGGATAAAAATGGAAGGACAAAACAAGAGGTTGAGTCAGAAAGTTGGCAAACCTCGTTAAGGGAAAGGATAGATGCTGGCTGCTATCAATTTGTAAATCAGCAGCCCGCCTTGCAAGCAGGATAAAGCTTTTTTCTCCAAAATCTAATTATAAGACAGAGCCTAGAGAGCCGTCCTGGGTTTTCTGCTCAGCTCCCTGCAGAACTTGCTCCCCCCCCGCCCCCCCCTCCCCGCAGAAAAGACAGACCCACCCCAGGTCCTTGGGTTTTCTCCGAGGCGGCATCCACCCGCACAGCATCTGGACCAGGTTTGGATAGCACCATCGAGCTAACTGGCCCTCTGTTTGGCCAGAAAGAGGGAAGTGTTTTGTTTTGGTTTTTGTTCAATGTAATTCAACGTTTAAAAAGGGGTATTAAGTGAGGTTGAGATAAATTCCTGCTAGAAACGTAACGCTTTCTTTCACCTACATTGCTCTTTAGCTAACACTGGGCACCATTCGAAATACTGGCACTTGTATTTAGCATTGTTCCTATAGGAGGGAGCCTAGCTCAGGACTTAGGGGCACATGGCCCTGCAGCTGGGCTGCCTGGGTTCAAATCCTGGCTCCGCAGTTACTGACTACAGCTCCTTGGGGGAGGCTTTTAACCTTATGGAGCCTCAGCTTCTTCATCTGCAAAATGGGGTTAGTGGGAGTCCTGACCAAGTCAGTGTCTGTGAAGGGCAGCAAACAAAGTTGCTCTGTAAAAGGAAGATCTTATTATTGAAGAAAAACTCGCAACACAAATGAAACTGTTCTAGGTCAGGTCAGGGAGGGGTGGGGTGACAGGGTCGCTGCGCTTGAGGCGGGGGTTACTCAGCAGACCTCTTACTGAAGTGTCAAGGACATAGTGCTGCCATTTGAACTGGACTCTCCAGTGTCTCGGCTGGCACTGGAGAACCAGCCTCGGGACTGACCCATCGAGCCATTGAGGCGAGGAGGGAGGTGCCCCACTGCGATTTCCTCTCCAGCTCATCCTGGATTGTGGAACACTGTTTGGGGAGGAGGGCAAGGGATGGAGAAATGGGATGCACTCAGAGGGCTCTCCGGAAGGAGGTAGGAGGGCAGTGGAGGAGGTAAGCAGCCTGGGGCCAGAAGCAGCTGTGCCCTGTGTCCTCTCAGCTTCTGGGGACCCGGCTGCTCAGAAGGAGGAAGTCGTGGCCAGACGTGCTGAGTTCTGAGTTAATGACTTTGCGGGCTGCCAGGGGAGGTGGTCACTGCCACCCAATCCCGTGGAAATCCCCTGTGGATGGGTGGCGGGGGCGGGGGGTCTTCCTGTGCTGGAACTCTCCTCTGGCTCCAGCCTTTTACTGATTTTTATTTATTTATTTTTATTGAGTCATAATTTACATTTAGTGAAGTGCAGAACTCTTACGTGGACAGCTCGGTGTACATACCTGTGCGGTCACCACCCAGGTCAAAATCTAGAGCATTTCCAGGACCCAGGAAGGCTGCCTCCTACCCTTTCCCAGCTCAAGACTCCCCAGGGTCCTCAATTCTAACCTCTGTCACCTTCAACTACTGTTGCATATTTTTGAACGTCAAATAAATAGAATCATACAGTATGTATTCTCTTGTGACTGGCTTCTTTCATTTGATATTGTGTCTGGGTTTTTGTACATCTGCACTTCATTTTTCTTCACGGCCGTATAATACTCCATCGTGGGAATATCCCATAATTTATGTTTGTGTTCAGTTCCTCTCCAGCTTGGGACTGTTATGAATA